GAAATAATTTGGCTACATGCTTCCTCTCCAATGATCGTCCTCCACAGCCCCAGGGTTATGTCGGGCGTGTCCCCCTACAGGGGGATTTTCGATGAAGAATACAAGATACCCCAGACATACCCCCAAAAGGTCAGATAATACTCAAAAAATCCTCCCCTGACTATTTTTGCACTATTTGTTGACTATTTTTGAGGGTATTCTTCATTTTTCGTTGAAAATCCCCATGCAGGGGGACAGGCCCGACTTAACCCCAGGGCGCCCTGGGCGCCAGGCGCGCCAGATGTGCCACGCGCTCCGGCCGCGCCAGGCGCGCGCCGCGCGGCGTGCGCAGAGTGCACCGGGCGGCGGCAGACGCGGCAGTGCACGCAGCAGCACGCGTCGGGCAACGTGCCGCCCCGCCCACCGCCCCCCTTCTGCTCCTCCTTCTCCTCCACCCTCCTCCTCCTCCTCCTCCTCTTCCTCCTCCTCCTCCTCCTCATCCTCCTCCTCCTCCTCCTCCTCCTCCTTCCCTCCTCCTCCCCGTCCTCCTCCCCTCCTCCTCCTCCTCCCCCTCCTCCTCCATCTCACCCTCCTCCCCCTGTCGGAAGCCAACACAATCAGTCAGCCCGAATAGTGAGGATGGGCAACCTTCCCAAGGGTATCCCCTCGCATCCTTGCCTCCTCGGTCTATCCTTCGCCACTTCCGTCGGCCGCGCCCCGCTCGAAGAGCTTCGAGATGGGCGTCCAGAGCCCCTTGCATCCTCATCGCGCATCCTTATCTTACGGGCTGACTGTACACAGCGTGGGTCGAGGCCCGGGGACACCGTGCCGCGGAGGCCAGGATCCTCCACGCCTGGGCTTGCCCCAGCGAAACGCGCAGCACCGCCCGCGGCCCCAGCGAAGCCGCGGACGCAAGCCCGGTCCGCATGCAGAGGAGGAGGAGGAGGAGGAGGAGGAGGCGGAGGAGGAGGAGGAGGAGGACGAGGAGGAGGAGAGGAGGAGGAGGAGGAAGAAGATGAGGACTGGAGGAGGAGCTGGATCTGGAGGATTAGGAGGAGGAGGATGAGGGGAGGAGGAGTAGGAGGAGCGGTAGCTGGAGGAGGGGAGGAAAGGATGAGGATGAGGAGGGAGGGGAGAGGAGGAGGAGGAGTCCTGGAGGGAGGGATGCTGGAGGAGGAGCTGGACGAGGAGGAGAGGAGGAGTGAGGAGAGGTGGAGGAGAGGAGGAGAGGAGGAGGAGGCGCTGGAGGAGCTGGAGCTGGAGGAGGAGGCTGAGGAGAGGAGGAGGAGGAGGAGGAGGAGGGAGGAGAGGAGAGGAGCTGGAGCAGGAGGGAGGGAGAGGGGGAGGAGGAGGAGGAGGAGGATCTGGAGGAGGAGGAGGAGCTGGAGGAGGAGCTGGACGAGGAGGAGGAGGAGGAGGAGGAGCAGGAGGAGCTGGAGGAGGAGGAGGAGGAGGAGGAGGAGGAGGAGGAGGAGGAGGAGGAGGAGGAGGAGGAGGAGAGGGGAGCAAAGAATGACACGAAGATGAAAAGCTCGGAGGTCCTCGCGGAGTTCGCTCAGCACGCGCAGCGGCAGGGGGCGGCGGAGCGCCTCCCCGTCCCACCACCCATAGGGGGACGCGCGAAGTCCCTGGAGACGGGACGGGAACAAACAGTGGCACGAACGTGCAAACTCGTAGGTCTACACGTCGTTCATTTCTAATCGTGCTCATTTCTAGGTGTGCTCGTTTTTCTAATTGTTCCTGGCCCCCTAGTGGCCAGGAAGAGGCCCAGAATAGAACAATTAGAATGGAAGGATCTTGGCCCCCCAAAAATCAAGAACTTTCGAATAATTAGGAATGAGCAGTGTGTACGCGGAGTTCTCGGATCGGCTCTGGTGGCCTCGTCCCAGAAACGAGCCCCGCCCTCCCCAGTCGCCCAACTCGCCACCGCCCCCCGACGCAGCTCTGGCCAACACCGCTAGAGGCTCTGAGTGAGGGTAATTGGGCGATCCGCGAGTGGAGGTGCGCGCGTGAGCTGTAACACATTACCACGGACCAGCCTGGGCCAGGCCAGGGCTTGCTCCACCTGCTGGATCACATCTAGAGTCTCTGGCGGCCCGCAAGCGGCACTTGGCCCCGCAGCTTGGGGCTCTGGCCGACCAGGCCCACGCCTACACAGCAGATCGAAGAGGCGCCGGCGCTGCCCCCAGATCGGCCATGGTGAGTGGCTGGAGCTCACCTCGAGCTCCCCCTGGCACAGAAATGAAACTGCCGCCGCCAGTCTTGATCCCGAGGTGTTTTTTGGGGGGGGGAGGAGATGGACGCCAGTCTTGATCCCGAGGGGGGCCCTGAGCACCGACCTCCTCCTCCCTCCTCCTCCTCCTCCTCCTCCTCCCCCTTCTCCTCCTCCCTCCTCACTCCTCCTCCTCCCTACTCGTCCTCGTCCCCGTCCTCCTCCTCCTCCTCCTCCTCCTCCTCCTCCTCCTCCTCCTCCTCCTCCTCCTCCTCCTCCTCCTCCTCCTCCTCCTCCTCCTCCTCCTCCGCGAGCGAGCAACGGGGGCCCACGACGAGCTCCCCCCTTCGGGGCCCCCTCCCAGTGCCACTGAGGGCTCGGGTGCCCACCGCGTCCTGGTCCACCGGCGGAGGGCCCCCCCCCCGACTCCTTCCGCCTCTCCAGGACCCACTCCTCGAAACAAATCCCCCGTCCTCCTCCTCCTCGTCCTCCTCGTCCTCCTCCTCGTCCTCCTCCTCCTCCTCGTCCTCCTCCTCCTCCTAGTCCTCCTCCGCCTCCTCCTCGTCCCCCCCCGCCTTCTTCAGCCTCTCCAGGACCCCACTCCTCGAACAAATCCCCCGGAGGCCTGGCCCGCCGTGGGGACCTTCCGATGCGCATCACCACCCTCCGGCACTCTTCGGCTTGACTCCGGAGCCGCCTTCTTCAGCCTCTCCAGGGCCCACTCCTCGAGTCCCCTGGAGGCCTGCCCGCCGTGGGGACCTTTCGATGCGCATCGCCACCCTCCGGCACTCCTCGGCTTGACTCCGGAGCCGCTGGAGGCCCCTTGGGGCCCAGGCGCGGGAAGAGCCGCCCAGGACTTGGGCGCTGCGTAATGGGGGATCATAAATGGGGGGGTGGCGAGTGTGGTCCGAAAAGGTACCCAAACGGTACCTAAACGAGCCCCCTGGGGCTCTGGAGGGGCCCGAAAGGGGCACGAAAGGGGACCTTTTCTGACCCCCCCATTTGTGACCCCCCCATTAAGCCACGCCCAAAGGACACCAATCTCAGCGCCTCTGGGCAGGAGACGGGCAAGCTTGCGGCATCCACGCATCCGCCTCTGCAGGCTCTTCCCGCCCTTGTCCTCGGAAACCGGCGGCTCGCTTCGTCGGCCCGTCGCGCCGCAGCATCCGGTGCCCCGCCGGCGGCGGCGCGAAGCCCATGCCACGCTCGCCCACGCCCCGCCCAACACTCCCACCAGCTCGCGCATGATGGGGCGGCCCGGGCCCTCGGCCAGGCCTGGCCTGCACCTCCTGCCGGGGGTTACTCCCATGCGCAAGCTGGGCCACTCATCCCCGGAGCGGTGGGCAAAAAAAAAAAAAGGAGCGGTGCTCCGAGGAGAGGAGGAGGGAGGAGGAGTAGGAGGAGGGATGAGGGAGGAGGAGGAGGAGGAGGTAGGAGGAGGACAATGAGGAGAGGAGGAGGAGGAGAGGACGGAGAGGACATGGAGGCGGAGGAGGGAGGAGGAGAGGAGGAGGGAGGCGAGGAGGAGAGGAGGACACATGGAGGAGGAGGAGGATGAGGAGAGGAGGAGGAGGGCGAGAGGAGGAAGGAGGAGGAGGAGGTAGGAGGAGGACAATGGAGGCTTGGATGAGGCCTGCCCCGTTCAGCACCCGTTGGTGCCGACGTGGGGCGGAGCCGCCCAGAGCGGTCGTCAGGAGAGCTTCGCTGTCCGACGAAGGGAGCCAGCCACCGTATGTGGCAATTAGACCGCTCTCCATCCTCCTCCTCCTCCCCCTCCTCTCCTCCTTCCTCCTCCTCCTCCTCCTCCTCCTCCTCGCTCCTCATCTCCTCCTCCTCACTCCTCCTCCTCCTCCCTCATTCTCCTCAGCTCCTCTCTCTCCTCCTCACTCCTCCTCCTCCTCCTCCTCCTCCTCCTCCCTCCTCCTCCTCCTCTCCCTCATCTCCTCCTCCTCCTCCTCCTCCTCCTCTCCTCCTCCTCCTCCTCTCTGCTCACTCCTCTCCTCCTCCTCCTCATCTCATCCTCCTCCTCCTCCTCTTCCTCTTCCCCTCCTCCTCCTCCTCTCCTCCCCCTCCTCCTCCTCCTCTCATTCCTCCCTCCTTCTCCTCCCTTCCCCCTCCTCCTCCTCCTCCTCCTCCTCCTCCTACTCCTCCTCCTCCTATTAGACGCTCTCCATTCGGGTGGTCTCCTGATGAGACCCCTTCTCCACCCGCGTAGCCATCGAAGCCCGAGGGCCCCACCACGCAGCGCGCCATGCTCCAGTCGGCCAGCATGGCAAAAGGCAGACCTCTGAGCCTCAGGCACTCCCTACCTCTGACAGGAGGGAGAGGTTCGGCTCCGCGAGTCGCACTCCCACCGCGAAGTTGGCCGATATCAACGCTGTTTCCACATTCCTCGCCATCGCTCGGACGTCCATTCCCTGTGTTTTTCGGTTTCGTGCGTGGTTTTTTCGCCAAATGATCAAGGATGGTCCTCGATGGTTCTCGCCGAGGAAAAATGCACACGTCCGAGTGGTGCCAAGATTCTGGAATCGCACCCATTGCACCGCCCACTGGCTCGGCGGCGCTGGGGGCGCATCTGGATGCAACAACTTGCCCTCCGTCTTTGGCGCCATCTTGCCATCGCTCGGACGTCCATTCGCCGTGCATGTTTCGGTTTCGTGCGTGATTTGTTTTTGCTCCATGGTCCAGGATGCTCCTCGACGGTTCTCGCCGAGAAAAAATGCACACGTCCGAGCGATGCCCAGCCATGGTGTGGAGGTGGGACCTGCTGATGACTGCCACACCTCCCCTCCATGTCCCTGGCGCTCACCGTTGATGGTCGCCTGGGCTCTGACCAGGTCTCCTCGCCACCCCAACGCGTGCGGTCTCAGACCCGTCTCCGCGAGCTTGGGCCCCATCGGGCGGTGCTCCGCGAAGCCGACGAGGTGGGGCGCAGGAACATCAGCCTTATGCACTCCAGAGTGGATGAGTGACCAGTCCTTGACCTGATCCTTCGCCCTGTCACCGCAGCTCGCGACGTTTGCGAAGCAGAACCTGCACTCCTCTAGCTCCTTCTTCGAGCCTGCATCCGTCCGTGGCCTCGAGGCAGGGCTCGCACAGGGCGTGCCCGCCGTCCTGGAGGTTGCCGAACTCGACCAAACTCGGTCGCCATGCGTGCCCTCTGCCTTCCCTTCACGGGAAGGCGAGTACTGCAAGGCAATGTAAACACATTGTATACACTTCACGATTTGTGCGTGCCATCCTTGCGCAGGGGCCGTGCTAATCTTCTCTGTAGCGTTCCAATGTTAACGGATGATCCCCGAAGGGCAGCGGAGAGGACGGGAGGGCGAGCGTGGCAGCGGAGAGGATGGGCAAGTGGACCGATAAGAGGCCGTTGAACTCATCGGAGTGGCCGAAGTCGCCGTGAACCTCGCTTCTCCTGCAACCTCTCGCCATTCCCCGCGTCCGTCCACCCCCACAAGCACATCGAGCAGGAGATCCTTGCCGTGGCCCACATGGCCGCCAGCAAGGTCATGGAAAATGTTACTGGGGCCCACCTGGCCCTCAGCTTCGAAGTCTGCTCTGAGACTAGGGTCCACCTGACCGCGTAGCATACGCTCGCCCACATCATCAGCCACATCATCATCATCATCATCGTCATCATCATCATCATCATCATCATCATCATCATCATCAGCATCATCATTATCATCATCATCATCATCAGCAGCAGCATCATCAGCATCATCAGCATCATCAGTACCAGTACAAGTACCAGTATGAGTACCAGTATCGGTGTCAATGCCATCACCACCAACATCATCATCATCGTCACGATCATCACCACCAGTAGCATCATCATCAGCAGCAGCAGCATCATCATCACTATCAGCATCGTCATCGTCACCATCATCACAATGACGACCACCACCATCATCATGGCCATGATCATGATCATGACCATGACCATGACCATGACCATCATCATCATCATCATCATCATCATCATCATCATCATCATCATCACCATCATCAATCATCATCATTAAAAACATCATCATCATCGTCATCGTCATTATCAGTATCATCAGCATCAACATCCACACCCTTATCAGCACCACCATCATCACCGGAATCAGCATCGTCATCAGCAGCAGCAGCATCGCAATCATCATCACCACCACCTCCGCCATCATGATCGGCATCATCATCATCATCATCATCACCACCATCATCACCATCATCAGCACCACCACCATCATCAACAGCATCATCATCATCATCATCATCAGCATCAGCATCATCAGCTGCATCGTCAGCAGCAGCATCACCATCATCAGCATCATCATAAGTTTCTTCTTCATCATCAACGCCACCAGCAGCATCATCATCATCATCAACACCACCATCATCAGCATCATCAGCACCATCAGCATCGTCATCACCAGTATCATCATCACCACTATCGTCATCGTCATCGTCATCGTCATCATCATCACCACCATCAGCATCATCAGCATCACCATCATCACCAACACCACCAATATCATCATCGCCATCATCATAATCCTCATCATCCTAATCATCATTACCAGCATCACCATGATCACCAGCATCACAATCGTCATCATCATCAGCATCATCATCATCAGTTTCATCATCATCATCATGATCAGGATCATCATCATTATCATCATCATCGTCATCATCATTAGCAACAACAACATCATCAGCAGCATATAGCAGCATCGTCGTCATCGTTATCGTTATCGTCATCGTTATCCCTCGTTTCCTTCCTCCCTCCTCCTCCTCCTTCTCCTCCTACTGCTGGTCGTCCTCCGCATCCTCCACTCCTCCTCCTTATAGACAACTCCTCCCTGTCGCACCCCGAGGCCAGTTTTCAGGGCGGGCAGGGCGTTTCGCCTGAGACTTCCTCACCATGTATGACTCTGAAGCTTAAAAAGTAACAACAGTTTTACCGATGGGACAGAGCATGGAGGGCGGTTGGTTTTCAAAATTTGGCTCTCGCCTTAGCGCCGCGCATATTCGTTTACAAAAGTTGCAAGCGTTTCGCGAATTGAGGACGGGTGGTTTTCAAAATGTGGCTCGCGCATTAGCGCCACGCACATTCGTTTTAAACATTTGTAAAAATGTAACGGATTGAGGGCGGTTCCTTTTCAACATGTGGCTCTCGACTTAGCGCCGCTCACATCCGTTATGTAGTTTAACAAAAGATGCAAGAGTTTCACGGATTCCCATGACCAACGTGCCAGAAATGGTGCGTTGATAGAATTCAGGATTATGCGGTATGCTGATTCGATGTGTTGAAGCCCCAAAAACGGCGTTCTGGCACGATTCTGGATCGTCAAGACGCAGAAGTCAGGTTTATACGTGGCGTTGGAATCCCGAGAAAAATGTTTGGGTACGCTTCAGGATCTTCAAACTGTTGTCTTCCAACGAGGCAGTTCCCTCAATGGAAATGAACCGTTATAGGGGCCTATGAAGAGGGAGCTTGGAGGGAGGGTTAATTCAAGCGTCGTTAATGACTCTTGGGTTTCCACTGGTCCTCCTCCTCCTGCCCCTCCTCCCCCTCCTCCTCCTCTTCGTCATCGTCTTCCTCCCCTCCTCCTCCTTCTCCTCCTCCTCCTCCACCTCCTCATCCCCTCCATCTGGCCGCTGTGGTCTCCCATCCGGCGCGATGTGGCGGCGCCTGCTGCATCTTCCCCTTGACGATCTGCGAGAAGACGGCCTGCGGGAGGCCCGCGGGGGCGGGGGGCGGGGGCAAAGCGGGAGGAAAGGGGGGAGGGGGGGAGCAGGAGGAGAGGGAGGAAAAAGGTGGATGAGGAGAAGGAAGAAGGGAGGAGGAGGAGGGGGAGGAGGACCAGAAGGAGGAGGATGAGGAGGAAAAACACGAGAAGAGGCAGGAGAAGGAACAGGAGGAGGAAACGGAGGAGGAGGAAGAAGAGGAGGATGAGAAAGATCCCCGCTCGCTGCGCAGAAGAGCAGTCGTCTCGGGGCGGACGCGCGGCGCGCGCGCGGCGGGCCGTAGGGAGAGACGGGCCGCCGCGATCGCACCGTGCGGCGCACTCAGGTGGCCGTGTCCAACACGGGCCCCTGGACGACCATCAGGAGGTCGTAGCAGCGCCGCAGGCCAGCCTTTGAAGAAGGAGGGAGGTAGAGGGTGGGGGCCGAGAAGCTGCAGACGACTGCGTAGCGGGCGCGAATGGGGATAGAGAGGTGCATCCCCGCTCGCTGCGCAGAAGAGCAGTCGTCTCGGGGCGGACGCGCGGCGCGCGCGCGGCGGGCCGTAGGGAGAGACGGGCCGCCGCGATCGCACCGTGCGGCGCACTCAGGTGGCCGTGTCCAACACGGGCCCCTGGACGACCATCAGGAGGTCGTAGCAGCCATACCCATGCTCAAAGCCCTTGCGAAGTGACAAGAGTTCGGCGGGCGGCTGCGAGCTGAATGGGCCACCCGGCAAGGCCAGCATTCAGGAAGGACGCGACAAGGTAGTCGCTAACAGACGCAAAGTACTCGACCAGAGACCGAGAGGCCTCAGGGAGGGCGGCAAGGACAGTAGAAGCGGCAGCGTCTTGCAGATATCCCTCGGCGGTGGACGCCTGGCGCCAGCGGCCCCGCCAGAAGACGCGTGGCAAATGCTCCGTAGCGGCATTGAAGTCTGTGGCGCCTGTGCCTTGAAGGCCAACGGGTGTGATGTCGAACCCCGCAGGCATCTTGGCGAGCGGCACGCCCAAGCCGACAAGTAGATGGTTCCACCGAGTACGGAAGCCGCTCTGACCAGAGGTCGTGGTCATGAGCGGATCGGTGGGGCCCACATGCCGAAACACAATATCCATAATTTTGACGGTCGCTCGATCCGAACAACGAGCGTATTGAATCGGATAAGACCGACAACTCTCAGGAACTGCAATCGACAAGAAGGCGTCGCCTTCCGGCTCAAGGCGGTCGCATGGCAGCGACAAGTCACAACGCTTCGCGTGGAGAATCTCGCCTGGACGCAGGGACATCGTGAAACCAGCCAGCACCAGGGCAGCCATCTCGGGCCACTCCCACAGCAGGCACAAGCTAACCATCGCGCGAAGGAGCGCTCGGGGAAGCGGCGGGCGGAGCCCGGGGAAGCTGCGGGCATGCCCGAAGAAGCGCGCTGGAGGCTCGGAATGCTTCCACAATTTAGCAACATCCCAGGCCTCAGTCAGCAAACCCCTACAGTGAGGGTGATTGGCCTGCACGCCCAGCACGGCGTGAACAAGGATGTACTGCGGGGGCCCCGCGTCGTGGAGCCAAACTCCGAACGTGGCCAAGAATCTGCCTGCTAAGATCCCGCTGCGGTAGAGCGTGTCAGGGACAATGCCCGTGTGCTCACCTAGCCACAGCTCGAATGCATCGAGCGAGCGTGTACGCCTGCTCTCATCAGCGGGGGTGAAACGAGAGCCCTGGGCGAACGAGATTCGCGCGAGAGGAGGCGCGGGGCTAAGGCCGCGACCGGAGTCAGCGGCAGCGGTCGAGCCAGAAGGCGTCGGCGCGGCTGGGGACAGCTCGGCCCCTGGGCCGTCTAGCGCCATAAGCCGCGGGCGCTGCCGCTCGCCCTGATGTGCGGCGTCAGCCGAAGACAGGACGGCGCCTGACCGCGGAGCGCTCGGAGGCGCAGCACCTGCTGCACGGCGGCGGCGGCGCGCGGGGTGGGGGACTCGCCGATGCCAGGTAATGGCGGCACGGCCACCGCCCTGCGGCGCCGTGTCAGCCTCGCTGTGCGGGACCGTACCTATCCTCGCCTCAGCCTCGGCGGCGCTGTCCACCTCCGCGGGGGCAGCCGGCACTGCCGCAGGCGCAAAAAGGTCCGCCGCCGCCGCGGGGGGCCCGGCGGACGCGGCCTCTCTGACGCAATTGGCAAGACGTGAGCGGGCGCTGCACAATGCAGCCTTACGGCGCTCGAGCTCGGCGAGGAGCGTCAGGATACGCTCTGCCAGCTCTCCCGCGCTCTCCCCAGTCTCCGCACCTCTCTCCAGCTCGACCTCGGTCAGAGCGGCATCGACAGCGTCGACCGCGGTTCGGAGCCGCGCCAAAGCACGCCGTTCGGCACGCGCGCGCCTGACCGCGGCCGCTGGGACAGCGACCTGGCTGGTGCGCATCGCAGCCGAGGTGGCCCACGCCCCGACTTGGGGCGGACCTTGGGCCGCGCGCGCAGAGGGCTCCAAGGACTCGGAAAAGTGTGGCGCAGCCGCCAGCGCCTCAGAGACCATGTCATGGGCAGCTTCCCTGGAGTCGGGGGAATCCGCGTTGCCAACGAGCGGGCCTCCCACCATAGGCGCGGCGCTAAGCGCGGCCGCGAGTTCCAGAGACCTCGGAGCGGCCCTGGCACGAGGGGCGGCCGGCGGCGCGGCGTATGAGGCGGCGGCGGGCGGCGAGGCATCATGCACGCGCGCACGGGCGCTCGACTGCGAACGATGCACGGAAGCAGGCGTGGGCACATCGTCGGCGCGCGGTGCTGGTGGCGCACCTGCGGCGCGAGCCGGAGGGCCCATGCTGGTCCTAGCGCCCCGCGCCGAGAGAACGCCAGGCGCAGCGCTAGGCGCGGCCGCGCGTTCCGGAGACCCGAGGCCGCCGCCGCAACACGCCGCCGACAAGGCCGTCCGGGCGCTGGCGGGAGTCGCGCCAGACACGGCGCTGACGGCCTCGGTCGCCTGTGGCGGCCGCGGCGCGCTGTCCACGAGACCGCGCGTCGAGGCTGGGGATTTCCCAGGTTGCGCCCCCGCCACGGATCCGCCGTGGACGCGCAATTCGCGGAAGGGCCCGAGCAGCTGGGACCGGGCGTCGCAAAACTGCTGCCAACGAGCCGCGGAAGCATGGCAGCCTCGCGACTTGGCCGGGTGGTGGGGGGTCGCTAACCGCCGCCACGCCCGGTGCACCCCGGAGTCTGGAGTGCTCAACTGCACGCCGAGGAGCGCGCAAGCGGCCATCAACTTGGCAGCATCAGCTGGCCGTAACTGGCGCTCGCTGCCGAACGCGGCGGCCGCGCCCCCCGCCGACTGCGAATGCGAGCCGCCGACAGGGGGTAAGCGCGCGGGCGCAGACGCGGCGGCCACTGCACGGCCCTCATGGGAGCCGCCCGCGCGCGCTCCCTCCTCAGCAGCAGAAGAAGAAGGACCGCGAGCGCGACCTCGCGAGCGTTCCGGGCGCTGCGAGCGGGACCTCGCCTCGGGCGCGCCTGCTCCTGGCTCCCCACCGACGGCACGAGCCCCTCCCTGCGGGGCCGCAGCAGCATCGCTGGCAGGGCGCATGCCTGCCGGCGGGGGCGGGAACGAGCTAACATCCCAGGGGGGCGCCGAAGCGGTGGGCACCGCGGGCGCTGCGCTGGCTGCAGAATTCACGACATGATCGTGCCGTGGACTACGCAAGGCGTCAGTGCGAAGAACGTTGCGCGGACCACTGGGTGCTGGCTCCCGCGAGGCGGGTGTTGGCGAGCTGGTGGTGCTGGGGGGCGCGAGAAGCGGCGGGCCCCCAGCCTCAGCGGACGCCGCCGCGTCGCCCTGATCGCCGGGGAATGGCGATTCCTGACGGCTGGTCGCAAGGTGCCCGTGCGGGCCCGCGCCCGCGGCAGGGCGGCGAGCCAGAACCAGGAGCGCGAACCTGCCCCACAAACACGTCGGGTACGCGGAAGCAGCATCGGCAGCCGCTATCACGTCGAATCGCTCGAACCGACCCTCGTCAATATCAGACAGCCAAGCAGGCTCGACGCGCGAGGGGGGGCGGACGGGGCGATTGCGCGTGGGGTCGTCCGCTCGATGGACATCAGTCGGGACGTAAAGCCCGCCCATGTAGAGCCCGCCTCCCAGGATGTAGGGCAAGCAGGTGCTCAACACATGCGAAAGTCCAGGACTGCTGCTCCGACCGTGGGCCGCCGCGCCTAGTGCCACTTGGGAGTCCAAGAGAACGGGGATCCGGGAGTCGGGGTTGCGGACGCAACAGTATTTGCACAGACTCTTGAACACTGTAGTCTCAAGGATATTGATATGGCGACGCATGCGGAACTCCCACTTATACGCCAACCGAAAGCGCAGAGCCTCCGACAGCTCACTGATCCAGCGCGGCGCGAGGGGGAGCTCAAGAGAAGGGAGCCCCGCCTCGCGGCGCAGCTGGGTCAGCTCGGGGCCCAGGAAGTGCCCGCGGCTCAGGACCATGAGCAAGTGACGGTCGGGAAGACGAGTATGCCAGCCGCCGTGCTCGGAGCGCCGCCACAATTCTTGTGACAGATGCGAACTGATGTCGCTGCGGACCACCCCGCCCCAGCCGAGGGAGGCATCCGTGCCGAACACTTCAGGGCAAGGCGTCGCCCTAAGGTCGGTCATCGCAACAAAAGCCAGGTAGGTACAGGCCTGCAATTCGTCGCGAACCGAGGGCGGGAGCTCATATTCGAGCCCGTCGTCGGGAAGGGTCGAGATGAAGGTGTAGATGTGAGTGAATATCGACAGGATGGGACGTCGATACAAAAACACCTGCACCCAACAACCCACGAGCGAGCTCAGCAACGCCCGAGTCGAGCGACCGAGGAATACCTGAATCAGGGTCAGGCGGCAGAGGGCCACAGTGCGGACCAGGGGAGCACACACTATGCCGATCCTGCCCTCCACCTCGGCGCCGACCACGACCTTGTGGGTTTCGCCCCTGGCCCTCTTGCCGGGGTGCTGAATGAGGCCCACCTGGGGGTAGCCGCGATCACACGCAGCAAAA